TATTATTATTATTATTAATAAAATGTTGTGATGTCAGACCAGAGATGTCCCTGTGAGGTGAAAAATGAGGTCAGAGCACCACCTGCTGACATCATCACAGCTTATTATTAGATTTATTGATTATATTATTATTGATATCACATGTACATATGATGTAAATATCGATCACCATATTGATTTGTTATTGATCGTTAATCTGTATTTATTAGTCTGCATGGCGGGGCTGCAACTGCGCATGCTCATACCACACTCACACACACACACACACACAATCTCAGCATCTCCTCACTGATGACAAAGGGTCCTCGCTGGAGACGAGCCGCACGTGACCGCTTTCTCTGCGCTCGTGCTGCCGCAGACAGAAGCAGACAGACAGACAGAGGGTGAGACAGACAGACAGACAGACAGCAGCAGCAGTGTGTCGGTTGGTGTGTGTTGGTGGTAGCTGAGGATGCGCGCGGCGGGCAGCAGCAGCAGCTCGCGGTGATCGTCGGTCGGTACCGGTAGGAGCAGCCGCAGCGGAGCGCGAGGAGCGGACATCATGAGCTGCAACTGGGGCACCGAGCTGTGGGTAAGATACACCTGTTCACACCTGTTCACACCGCTCGGCACAGAGCGAGATCCGCCACTGAGAGCCGGTAACCTGCCGGTAACCGGGGGCCTGTCGGTGTGTGTGTGTGAGGCCCTCGTGCTTCTGTCTGCTCTGCCATAGCAACACTGTGAGTGACGACAGCGGCTCGCGCTCTGCGTCCTCCATGATGCTGCTGCAGCCCCCCCATTTATTAATGCTAATAATATTGTTGATTAGGATCGATATTGTTATTGTGTTCCTCATTAATTGATTAAACATTAAAAGCAAAATGTCCGTATTTCTGTAATCAATCAGTTAATCAGATTACTTAAGTAACAATATATTTAACATTATTTACATTCATATGTTTATTATTGTACATAAATAATATATGAATAAACTACCAAAACCAATCTATAAATTAAAAATAATATTAAAATAATAATAATGATATTTCTGTTTTAATTTGCTTCTGTATTTATTTACCTTTGTATTAATTTTCTTTACTTTCGCCTTTGAAAATAATGTTTTATTAATTAATTAATTCCATTTTAAATATTTCAATGTATTTATTGATTTTGTAAAAAAAAAAGTTTACATTTCTGCTTCATTATGCAAATTAGTGTGACGTAATTCAAGGTGTAATTCAGCTTTCCACTTATTGATTGATTGACATCAGAGTGCAATGATGGACTTTAACTGTCCTTACCCTGCCGCTGTCCACTGATTGTTACAGCGACTCTGATTTTATGGATAAATGTTTTCTGGTTTTTCCTCTGATGTCTTCCAACTGCTTCAACTCTCGCTTTTTACAGGGTTACCTGATTGACAGATTGCTGCTGCTAACTGCTGCTAACTGCCGCTAACTGCTGCTAATGTTAACCAGGTTTATGACGAAACGAGCGACTGTTTTACTATACTGTCCCAAATTGAATGGTACATGCTATAATGTCGGTAACAAGCACGTCTGAAATAAACTTAAAAACCACACTGGTGGTTTGGTGTGCCGTAAGGCAGCCCTGCTAACAATACATCACGTTCAGCATGGATTTTCCTACAAACACAATTCAGTTGGTGGATTATATACATACCGAATTTATCACAACACTTGATGAAACGTGTCCAGCATTATGTTTCGGATTGTGATTTCAGTAACTTTGAGGCAAAAACACAGTAGCCCGATATGAGAGTAAAGTTTGACTAACAGCTGGGCTGTGGCTCTCAGGTATCAGAATCAGAATCAGAATCAGATTTATTATTTATGTTATTGTATAACATGGTAACATAACACAGATAGTGATACTCTTTGCTCATATGTAACTTTGGAGTTACAGTTTTTGACTGTCCTTGCCCTTATGAATGTGGAGGATGCACTGCTTCATGAGTAGTAGGGTGCCAACAGGAGACACAGCAGCTGGGTTACACAAAAACTACCCAACTCTCCCAACAGCCTCAACTCCACGTTTGGATAGAAAAAATAACCCAGCATTTATTAGTGTGCTTGGTCCTGCTAGACCCCCACTGCTAATATTACTGTTATTATTATTATTATTATTATTATTATTATTCCTATACGGTCAGGACCGTACTCATTATAACATTATTTCCCTCATCGTTGTGGCTATTATCGTCATCATTTTCATCATCATCAGTCATTTCTATTAGTATAGATGTTGCTGTGCACCTTTGTCTCTGTCTCTCTTTGTCTCTCTCTCTGTC